GAAAATTTTGAAAATAAATACCCTACTATATTTATCTTTTCTTTGGTATCTGTGGTGCTTAGTTTAATTAAAATATCAATTGAAGCCAGGCAACAGCAGTTTTTGGATTTTCCTTTCTTATTATTTCCTTGATCCACTTTTTTATAAGCACTATGATGGCATACAAAAACATACCTAAAAACTGTATTTTCCAAAGTTTATTCGCGTTATATCAATATACTCTTCTATCCATTGCTTTATATCGTTTTCCTCCAAAATGTTGGCTCGGTAAATTTGCTCACCACATTGAAAGTGTTTAAATGATCCAGGCAAACTCATCACCCCCCTACTTCCTCAATCAACGCTAAGAGGAACACGAAGGAGGTGGACAGCTGATTTAATATAAAAACCGCGCCAAACGCATGGCAACATTCGGACCTGATACTCAGCACTGTTTAACATTACGACCTTAGATTCGGCACTCCACATGGCTGTTGCTAGTGGACCATTCTGACCTGAGGCTCAGCACCGTTCAACATTCAAGTACCGATTTCGGCACTCTGCATCAATTGGTGGTCCGAATTCAAACGGACCAATGAAATATGCCTAGGTGCCGAATCCTATACCGGAATGTTTAGATGCTTCCGGGTCGTCTGTAATGCCCATGCTGTGGAGATGGCGTCTTCGGTGCCAGTGTCCAGTGTCCGGTTCGGAGACTAGTCACTAGCCGTATCTCGCGTCTGTTCAAGCGCAGTAGTTGTTTGGGGAGACAGGCAGAGGGCCCATCAATATGAGCCTTAGCCTGTCTCATGCCAGGTGCTTCCATCCATCTCCCAATGAATCGCTCCGCGAGGAGACCCTTGAGGGATGTGACCTTAGATTATATACAGGCACACCTAGATACGCAAAGCATTCAAAATAAATTCAGCCAAGAAGGGATCACAGTCTAAGCCCATGTCTTATACCAAGTATGCACTGATACGTTGGATACGTAGAAAAACCTGAAGCGATTTTTTTTAAAACGATTTTATTGGTCATCACTTGTCAATGCGTGTTTATTTGGTTTATGTGGGAATCAGCTTTTAAGGGCGTGCGTAAAAATTTTGTGCCGTAGCAACGGCACTTCTTGAGCAATGGCTGAAACAGCTGATTTTCGATTTGTTGTTTTGTGATTTTGTTCTCGCGTTTTATTGTGATTTTAATGATTATGAGCTCTGTTTTTTATTCAAAAAAATATTAAATTTAATAAATGTGGAGAATCATGCTTCAGCTGTGCCTGGTTTGTGGAAAAAATAATGCAGATTTCCTAACCTTTTCTCTACAGGTAAGTGGAATCAGTGGCGCACCACCTGTACTTGTTATTAATTGTATTATCTGTTACAGAGTTCCAGCCGTTATCTAATTCCGGTTTCAGGTAGAAAAACTACGATAGGATTTCATTGAAATGGAATAAAACATTATGGCAAATCTCAGGCGTCGTTCGTTCACAATCAGAATGGAGCTTAACGAATAATAAAAATGTGTAGGTACCTACCTGTATGTACCTAATTATGTTGATAGATAAAATAGAAAAAGAGCAGTTTGATTAATTATTATGTAAATAATGTATCAATGAAAGGAACAAAATTATTATTCTTTAATCCCATTTACTTGATTGAAATAAAATATTACATATTAATTTGCTTACGAATTATTGTAGTTGATTTCTATAATTTTAAGCAAATAAAGCTTAATGTACTTACTTGATATAATTTTAACTAGGTAGGTGTCAAAAAAAATAGCATCAAAGTTGAATTTAACAAGAATTGTATACTTACCTTTGTATATTATAATATTTTGTTAATTTCAGATTTCAGATACGTGTGTGTGAATCAAAATTTATTGTTTGTATCATTTGAAAATAAATTGGCTTTGTATCATTGTTGTTTTATTGAAATTAATGCTCATGCAAGAAGCCCAATCAGGTAGGTATGGAATTTTGAAAATTTTAAGAAATAACTCAAAAGTTAATGTTTTTGCGTTAAAAAATGCAAATAGTATGTATATATAGTCAGAACATAAAAAAAAAACATTTTTTACTCTCACTTCTGTGAAAATAATTTTTTTTTAAATCTTGATAGGCAGGCGAAAGCGAAGAAAATATTTTGTCAATTGTGTTTTTTTTATATTTTAAAATATATTTTGATCCGACCGATGCTCCGCTAATGGTCGCTTTCGTCGGGCCGGTCACAGTCTAAGCGTTGAGCACATGTCCACAAACTTGTGGAATAAATAAACAAACCCATTCATAAAAACGTTGAACGGCTTTGTTGATGTTGGCCGAAACATTTGGGTGTTTTATGAATGACTATGCGTATCTAGGTGTAGCCTGTATATAATCTAAGGACGTGACAGTCTCACATTTGGCTATGCCGCCTTTGAGGAATAATGACCATTAATACCGCTACTCGACATTATTCCCTGGGGGTGACATTAGTCGGAACTAAAAGGTTTTAAGTTCGTTATACCAGTACCAACATGCAATTATTTTCTTTACATCTTATGTAAATTGAAAGGGGTATTCGGTCAATATGTATTTGAATGGAATTTATGAACAAAAAAAAAATGCGTCTCGGAATAATTCTTTTTTATTGATACATACACGCAGAAAGTACATATTATGTACTATTATATAAATCATTGTAAAAATACATATATTAAATTGAATTTTTTTGACAGCTGTCACGTACAGCCAATTAAATTTGGTTATTTTGTGTCATGTGACTTAAGTCATCCAATTACGTTAACATTATACTGAAAGAAAACAGATCTCATAAGCTGTTTTCACTTTATGACGTTGCTATGAATACATTTTCAGAAATTTTATGACAACTTTCTCAAGCTTGTTGCTCATAGGAAACAGACCTCAGCCATCGGCGTTGATCTGTTTCCAAACAACAAGTATTCGAAATCTGTTATAAATTTCTTCCGAACAACTATCAATGTTTTTTACTTATTACCACAGCTCATTACTATTGAAAACCAAACATGTCAAAAGTAAGTTAACATGCTCGGTTGACTATTCAGGGCAGTCAAAAGTATGTTTGGGAGATAGGGGTATCTCTACAGGTCTTTTAATGACTTGTTTTTTTTATGTCTCGGATAGGCATATCACGTGCTTCTCTTGAATCTGCAATCTCTGGCAAAAGGCAAGTGTCAAAAAAATCTACAAGGTAATCCTGCATTTCATGTGACCAGAAAGATTCGTCTGCAAGGATAGTTTCTGTTTTCAATCTGTGGGGCGTCCACACAGCGAAGACACAGTATAATCTTTAAGCCACATGTAATTGCCCCTGTAATTGGTAACACCAAAGTCTGTAAAACCACTTATGTTTTTTATGGATTATACCATTTTTGTCCCAAAAAGTAGTTTTTCTTTTTTTTATGCCTTCTTCAGGGGTCATTTCCCTTGCAGAATATGAATATATAGTTATTACCTAATAACAATAGCACAATACCGAATAAGTCTCAAATAAAACGTTTTTTATAAATCTGTGAACGAAAAAAAATATTCAACCGTAAACAACAAAAATGTTCGCTGCTCTGCGGCCGGACCTGTCGCGTCGATTAAAATCTTCCTTCATAGTCTCGCTCTACTTCAATAAAGAGATAGACTGAACATTGCGCTCCACCTTTTTGCTACCTCCCGCTTCCTACCGACCCGAAAAATAAGCACAGGCAGGGCTGTTGGATCAGCCTTAACAATATAATAAAACAGGTATGGCGTAAATAAATTGATGTCTATACATTTTTGGATTAGTTTGCTCATATTTCTAGTTTCTTTTGTGTGAATCTGTTCTGGTAATAGACAAATTACACCGTTGTCAAATCGATCAGTGGCTAAATGCCATTTAACTAAACAAGGCTCAATTTTTCCTCAATCAACGGATCGTGGATTCTCAACCAGGTTCAACGGCTGAACCAGACTTCACTGACCTGGGGCTTAAACTTCAATTGTACAACCGGGCCTTAGTGAATAGTCTTTCAAAATTCAACGTTTACGCACTTCACGACATTTGTCATTAATTGTAACTGTCACAGTGCTGTGTATTTCAACTGTTTTCACCGAAAGTGAGACGCATATTCAAAGCGTAGGCAATCCGCAATAGCGACGGCTGTCTAGGTTTTCTATATTTTTTACGATTAATTTAGTGAAATTCCTATATTTAGAGAATATCTTTATATATTCCGCTCACGAAAATCAATAATTCCAATTTAAAAACGGAATTAAGCCTGTATGCAGATTTTTAGAAATATTTTTTTCATAAGTACATACAGGTCACCAACAACAATACTTTACGTAATACGCATTGAAAAAAATCTATTCGATATCACAACTTATACTCCGTAGTTACGAGGTGCGTAGCAAAGGTTCACATGAATAGAGACTCACGTGGTACTTAATTAAGGTATATTTTGTAGTACAAAGGTTACAATTACCAAAACATGGCCGTTGGCATCCTAGTGCCTTTTCTAAGAGACGTAAGGACTGTCCAGAGAGAGAGACCGTCCACTGGACGACACGAAGACTGAAGACACCCAGTGATGGGCTTTCCCAAGAGAGGTAGTGAACTGCGACAACTGAATGAACCTTGGCAACGGATGAAGTAGCAGAGGGGAAAACGAAAACCTATACTATACGACGCGACGGGTCCTCGACGTGGTGCATTACGAAAATTGCGGTTACCCTGACGCAACAACCCGCGTATAATATACGTATGTATATATATATATGTATATTAAATGTATATTAAATCTCGCGCCAATCAGGAGGGTTCCTTCCACACAGGTTCATTCAGTTGTCGCACTTTAAGCAGTAGATAATTGGATAAAGCAACTAAAAATATATTTTTTTTGAAAACTTCACAGTCCATTTTAAGAAAATAAATAAAAATGGAAACTCTCTAGATAAAAACACCGGATTTCTCCGTACTATTTCACAGGTTGCATTTTGACATTGTTGCCACTAATTCTCAGCATTGGAAATTTTTAATATATTTATTTCTGGAATGATGGCAAAATACAAAGAAAAATAGTTAAATCATTTACTTAGGGATTCAAGAGTTCATAACATTTTTTTTGAAATATTATCATACACAATTTAAATTTATTTTTTGTAATCAGTTTTAATTTTTTTTTCTCACGACGCGCTACATTTAGTCATAACTGGTAACAGCGCAATCAAGGCTTCAAGCCGGCGGCGTCAACGGGAATAGCTGTGCATCCTTTGTCAATGAAATCTTCTTAAATTTGATTGGTAGAAGATGCTCATATCATTTATACGTCATAGAATGACGCGTTTTAGGGCTTATAAATTTTGCTACTATTCAAGTGCCTGTAGAAGCCTCATTTAAACTCGTACATCTTTTTTTTTTGGCCAATATACCTAAAATAGTCCCTCATTTAAGATTTTATGCTTAAATTACGTATTTAAATTTTATCGAAAGAGCCCAAATCACAAGAAAGAAACAAAAACAATCTAGTCACTCTAATACACTTGTCTCAGAAACCACAGCAAAACTATCCACAGATTTCTATGCTAAAAGCTTGTTTACACGGGTCAAGTTGCGGGTCGAGTAACCTATTGTCTTCGCACTTGCCTGGTTATGTTCTACTTGACTTGATTCACCGACAAGAAAAGCAAACACGTTTTCACGTTTAGGTCAGTAGGGGCGCAAGTCGATTCAACATGGCGGAACCAAACCTGTTTTATTTAACTTAACTTTAGCTTGACTCATTTGTTTACATTGGTAAAATAAACGGTCAAGTAGAGGAGCAAGTGATGAAAGTGGTAGTCGGAGTGACAGTCAAGCTACTTACTTGTCCACCGTGCAAACTTACTTGCCTTGCTTCACTACTTGACGCAAGTCATTATTTGACTTGACCGGAACTACTTACACGATGCAAGTAGAAAAAATTACTTGACTTTACCACTCTACATGACCGTTTACTTGACCCGTGTAAACCCCGCTTTACACACACTTTCCATTATATAAACAACCCTTCCCAAAACTGGTTACTGTTTGGGTAGACCTTCTTTCAATTAGAAGCCAGGTAAAAATATAACAACATAATTATTAAACAGTAAAGAAAAAATACACCAAGTCTAGTTTCTTTATTGCTTAAAAATCAAGTATTTTTGAGAAATATAGACGTTTTTTTTTTATTTACATAATTAATGATTTAGTCGACTCCATTTTCTAGGTAAGCAAATCATGAGTCTGAGAGAGAACGGTAGCCGTCACAATAAGGCTATTCCTTTCTGTTGCCCCTGACAAGACTTTTTTGGCCGCTAAATCATATCACTATCAACTTTGAGGACTAATCGCTCTTGATATAATATATTGATTCCATTATTAGGACAGAATTTAGTTATTTGTATCTCAAAATTTGCAAATCAGAGGTAAGTGACAACAAAAACCAAAATTTTAAAACTGAAAATAAAATTAATGATTTGCCATTCTCACCTGATTTTTATGCAGGTTGTGATTAAGTACACATTCTGTCATGAAAAAGGCCACTAATGCGTTTCCTCCTAAAGCAATAACGTGAGATCTCACTATGGCTAATACTTCCGTTATAAAACTATGTATAAAGCCACTTAAACCTCCTTCCTAAAAAAAATATTGTATCAGTAATAATTATTGCAAAAATAGCTATCAAATTTAAAATGAAAGCAAGTGATTGTGTTGTATCAGACCTAATAATTAGAAATTTCCAAAAAATATTCTTGCCGCAACTCTAGAATTCAAACCTGGTCAAACTACCAACTGGGTTGTCTGGTTCCTGTCTGTCCGTCCCTAGTCAATGTGTAAGGTGTGCGGTTAAGGTCTCAGTGACTTTTATTTTAAGGGAGGCAGCCAAAAAAAAAAAAAATTACCGTGATAGATAAATTCTTCGGGGAGGTGGGGATAAGCCCGCCGCAGGCAGGAAATTTTGTCGAGTGCCACGCCCCAAAACGTTTATTGTAGGCCTTCAAAAAAACAACATTTGAATAATCTTTTTTGTCATCTTTCCTTCATTTTAAGAGTGGGGTTTTCAGAAAAACACGCACAGAAACCTGGAGCCATCGGTGGACGCTTGCCGGTGCAACAAGTTGTTTGACTTGCATATATCTAAGATTCTTTTAAAATTAATATCACGGAATTCAGGATCAGCTAAATTATTATTTGTGTTTCAGCCATTCTATGACAGCAATTTTTTGTCAAAAGAATTAAATGTTTTGAATATGAGGTAAATTTTTGTTTATGAATATTTTATTCAGTATTTTTTACAATATTTTTAGCCCTGAAGAAGCCTTCAACCATTTTAAAGACGAATCGTTGGATAGTATTTGATCTATTTTTATTTGTCCTTATCCGACTTTTTTTTCCTAGTACAATTTATATGTTCAGTAAAAATTTGGCATGATTTGTTAGGAAGAAGAAATTGTGTTTCAAAATTGTTGCAGCAATGCGACAAAGATTTGTCAGAATGTATCGAAGCATTGAGAAACTTAAAAACATATTTAATATCCAAAAGAAATTATGGACACTTTTATCACAATTATTAGTCCTCTATCCATCCTCTATTTTAATAAGAAATTGAAGTAGAGCGTGAATAACCCGAGAATTCTTGAAAGAGAAAAACCTTTACATGTTTCAGTGGGAGTCAAAAATTAATGTGTTATCCCAGACAATTTAAATTCATTTTCATTTCCATATTTTGAATGTTCGCGACATCAACAAGTTAAGAGGACTCCGGACACCCCTGAAACCTGGTGTCATTTGACGGCCTTAATATGGGATTAAACAAAAAATGTTTTATACAAAAGTTTCTTTGAATTGTTCAACGAATATTGGAAAGTCTAAACAATTTTAAAAAATTTAAAAAAATGTTTCAAAGACGTTTATTATTATGCCGGTTTTCCACCAAACAAAAACAAAACAAAAACACAACTTAAACTCAGACAAAACTCCAACTTTTCCCAAAAATTTTCAAGATTAGCGTGTTTTGCGACAGGTGGAATTTTGTTTTTCGGGTTTTAAAACATGTTTTAAAACAAAAACTCAACAGTCCGTTTGGTGGAAAACCGGCATTAGACTTAGCAACAAAATATTAACTTTCCAATAAAGTGTGAATGATTTTAAACAACTTTTATTTGAAACATTTTTTTTTTCTGAGTTTCCTTTTTTTAAAAAAAATGAAACCGCAGATTTTCATCAAAATTCGCAGTGCATCACCATTGCTCACAGATGCTTTGATCGTTCGGTATCAGTAGCGCGCGTTTGCTATTTCAGGCACGGTCAATTTTGTTAAATACTTGAGCACAATCAAGTGCCTGCCCCGCTCAGTTGGTAGAGTTCTAGACTGGACATCCAGAGTTCCCAGGTGCAAATCCTAGTCTAGGCAAGAAGATTTTTCGCCAAATTTTAACTGTTAATATGTCAAGAAACACATTCAGAAGCTAGAAACTCAATTAAAATAATATTCACCTCTCTAATAGAAGTAGTTTCTCTTATGAAGAAAAAATTTAAATTTCCCAAATATTGCTCTATGTTTCCTCCAGGCACATAGCTTAATGGAGTTATATCTACCCCGTGCTGTTCATTATTTGGTAACTGAAAAAATAATTAAAAATATCTAAAAAAAAAAAAATAAAACAAATAATAAATTACATGTCTCTGTTTGACAGATTGAGGCCTATGTTTCGAAGGTGACCGCTGGCTTCGAATTTTGAGACTGGATGTATTTGACTTGTTTAATTGGTCTTGAGGATGATCATCGTCAAGTTTGAAAATCAAATCGTCATCTGAAAAATGAGGTTTTATGAGTATTCTAACCTTAGTAGATGAGGCAAAGAAAAGAAGTTAGAAAGGAAAAGTTATGAAATCTTCCATTTCCGAGATTTTCATTCACGTACCATTTTTGGAGGTTGTTGCAGACTTTCTTTTTTCCAATTTTTTTCTCAAGCCTAAAGCCATTCCTGTAAAAACAAAATATTTATATAGGTATGTAAACAAAAAAATGGTAAATTTGTTCACCTATAACACACAATTGTAATTCATCAGCTTCAGGTATATCAATTCGGAACTGCAAATCGCAAAGTGCACAAGGTACCATCCTTCTCAATTTGAAATAAACGCTCTGCAAAAGCCTCACAAAGTGTTTTTGTAGATTATAGGGAGGTACCAACTTTGCCCTGTAGATTTGAATGAACATTTGTAAGTTTTTAACTATTTCTAAATCTTCGAGACCTGGTACCGACTCTGTGCTGACTACGTGAAAGCCGTCAGGAACTTTTTCTTGCATCAAGAGCTTTAGGACTTCTGCATCTTCAGGATCATCCATCTATAAATTATTTGATTTCAAATTTTTTGAATACTAAGATACCAAATGACTTGGAACTGCACAATGGGTCATGAAAAATCTTTGTAAGCAATTGTTAATACTTATTGCCTCAAATGAAATATACAGGGTATCCATTTAATACTCTGGTGTTCGATTGCGGCTATGATGAAAAATGTAACAGGGGGGATAATGAAAGGGCTTATAGGGGCTACACCAACGTTTTTTATCTTTTTGTGAAAATTTATGGTAAAAATCTATGCAAGTACTCATTTTCTCATAAGCATTACGACTCTTACGGCAACACAAACCAATCATGGATTTTTTCCGGAGTATAAACCTAATATGCACTTTATCGCTATGTTCATTTCTCTTTCGTACCCATTTCCGTTAATAAAAAAATTAATATAACGAGATCAAATCATACTCAGCGACCATTTTGATTCCAATTTTTTTAAAGGGATTTAGAGGTCGCATTTTTTTTTCCTTTTGCAGAGAACCATAATTGTATGGTTCTCTGTACGCCCTTTTCAATAAACAAACTTAAAAAAACTGTAAAATTGGCCCATTTGTGCCAATGAATTGTACTCTCAGCGGGAATTAGTAAATATTATTTACGTTATTGGTGAATGCATGGGGGGGGAACTTTTTTTTTTCTTCACGGGCTTATGCACAACAACTTCCAAATAATCTACATCCTGATGACAGAATGCTGGAAAATCTTAAGAACGATTCGAGCGTACTGGAAGCGTAGCGTACGAAAAGAAAACCACAACAAAAACGGTTTCAAATGAAGAAAACGAATTCGCAAGAACCCTGGCGGTAGTTCAAAATCCGGAACAGCTTGTCCTGTTCTGGATTTTGTAAGGACTTAGAAATAAAAAAATCGTCTGTAGGATAATATCTCAAGAAAAACAAATTTCATCCCTATCATATTCGGTTACATCAAGAACTTATCGAAAAAGATTTTGAGAAAAGAATAATATAAGAATATACAGGGTGTTTCACGAACATCGAAACAGAGGCGTTTTGGGGTATTTTAAGGTCGATTTAAAAAAACTCTCGGACACGTTAATTTTGTATTCAAGGGGGAGAGTTTTTGACCCCACCGGTATTTCGCTAGGATGCACCCCCTGGGAGGGGTGACTTTCACGCGGTTTTTTTTAGATAGGGAAGATGGGTCGAGTGGTATCTTGTTTTAAAGGTATCTTGTTTCTCGTCACAACTCCGCACTTTTTTGAAAATCGAATAATTACTTCTCGATATATTTACTGTCAAAGTTGCCATGGGCTAAATGAGAAACAATTTTCTGACCTTCTGAAAAAAATTAAAATTGACGTGACCGAGAGAAAAGTCAGGAAAGTGTTAATATGAGAATAACAGGGCCAGAAGATTGTTTCTTATCTTATAGTCCATGGCAAGTTTGACAGTGAATATCTTCAGAACTAATCATTCGATTTTCAAAAAAAGTACGCAGTTGTGACGAGAATCAAAATAGCTTTAAAAGAAGGTATCACTCGACCGATCTTCCCTATCTAAAAAAGAAAGGGTGAAAGTCACCCCACCCAGGGAGCACCCTAGCGAAATACCGATGGGGTCAAAAAGTTTCCCCCTTGAATACAAAAATGACGTGTCCGAGCGTTTTTTTTAATCGACCTTGAAATACCCTAAAACGCCTCTGTTTCGATGTTCGTGAAACACCCTGTATAATCCCCATAGAGTGTGTGTCAATAATTTTCAACGCAAATGGGGTATCAACGTTTGGGGTAGTGCGGTGCATGATTTTGTGATTGGTCCATACTTTTTTGTAAATCGTGTAACAGGGGAAATTTTTATAAATTACTCAAGAGATTTTCCACCCTTGGATGATGCACCAGCTTACTTCAGTGCGAACGTTAGGGAACATATCACACGCCAATTTGGTGATAGGTGGATTGGAAGGCAAGGTATGGTAAAATAAATTTTATACTGGTCTTAAGGCCGCAATGGCCCCCCTTCAAATTAGATTTTAGTTCTAAAAAAAATTATAGATGGCGCCAAGATGAAAGCATTTGAAATATTAAATAGCGATTTCAATTTGCAGAATCAATGCAACTTTTTTCACTCAGTTCGCACTGATTGACTAATGGGAATTGCTCGGGAAATTGCCATTATTATTTCGCCTGGCCCAACCAAACTTGATATACTTATTTTTCCTATTTTATTTTATTAGGAATAGAACAGGTTTTTATGTATGAAGAAATTGCCTTGTATTGATTTCGGAATATTTCCACTAAGTAGGTATAATCTTTTGCCTATTTTGGATATGAAAAACATTTTATTATTATTATGATCGTTTTCCCAATTTTTCAAATTTTCAATTTTTTTTTTTTATTTTGGATTTTTGCAACGCTTCTAAATGATATTCATAAATATGTATGTAAAAAATAGGTAGGTAAGTAGGTAGTGAATTGAATTAGTAGAAAAATTTTTTTCGATCCGAACAAACTGATATAGGAGTTCAAAACAATTGGTTTTACAAAGATTTGATTGGCCTCGACTGTTTTTTGACACCGCATATACAGTACTTTCTTTCTTTCTTCTACTGTAATTGAAATAAGACAAAAAATAGTTCATCGGTTCGCAATGATGACCTATGTTTGTCTTTGTCTATTTTTTGGTATTAGACAAAGAAAACCAATTACTCACTTGCGCGATTGTTTGTTTCGATTGTCGTTAGAACTTTGGCGATAAATAAATGAAATTTATTTTGAACTAGTTTGCCGGGTAATTTTTTTTTACGGCAAAGAATCCAAGGTCAGTGAAAAACTTGGAAGAGTGAAAAAGGCGATTCTTGTGATTATTTCTTGCTTGCCTTTTGCGTGCATCGTACGTACAAGTTATAAGGAATTTTCACTAAATTATTTTTTATATTTTGTGATTTTCTTTTGTGAAATAATGGGTAAAGTGAAAGAAAATTACTATGTTCCTAAAAAAACCAATAGAGCCCAGCATCTTCGGGAAAGTTTTTTTAGAAAAAAAATGTAAGTACCGATTTCCTTTTTTACTAGAAAGAAGAAACTAAATTCTAGAGACGGTAAAGTGTTTGAAAATTTTGGTTTCTATTTCCTACACTAATAAGTTTATTGTACATTTACATTATTCATCATTACAGATTGGTCTTGCGAGAACATTCCTATGCCAGCAGGAATGCAGGTGGTGAAAGTTCTAGAGCCAGGTCTTCTTCAGTGTGTTCAAAGAGGTAAATTACACAACTTCGATTTCTGGACCAGTTTGTAACTGTTTTTCTACAATGAAAATATATTGCTTTTTTCGGTTGCCCCCAATAAGCAGCTTTTGTAGGTGCACGAGGCGAGCAAGCTGATAAAAGGAAAAACATACATAACTATATATTGCAAAAAAGTTGTTTTTTTTTTGTAGGATCCAAGATCAAGAAAACCCAAACACACTCTTATCTAATATGATATCACCAGTATCCCAAGACCAAGAGAATAACTGCGTTATTATGTTGAGAAAAAAATACACACATTACAAGCAGGTTTCAAATTTTCTTTAGAGAATCACTGTGTTACGAAAATGAGCATGAGACCCCTATCATGGACGAAATAATTTCAACTGGCATCAGTGACCCCCTTGACATGTAAGCCTAATAAACTAATACTTATCTTTTTAGATTTTTAATAAATATGATTCTAGTAACCTCGTGGAAGAAAATAATCAATCTACTTCTGGCGCTAACCCTCTACAATCTGAGCAAGACCCAGCAATGTCTATCTCGCCTGATGAACAGCTTCACGAGTTGTCATTTATAAGCCAAGAGGAATATAATGAGTAAGATAAAATATTCATAAAAAGTTAGGTACATCTTTTTATTTTTTTACACGTTTTCAGAGTCAATGAACACATTATAGAAGTTGAAAGAACACCACGACCAGACTCGACAGTTATCCAAGGGAACAGAATTGTTGATTTGGAGTATGTAACAGAGATTTGTATGGAGCTTCAATTCAAACATAGTCAAAGATGTACCCTTGGACTATTGAAAGTGCAGTGAACAAATCCTGCTTCAATTAAATTATGCCTGTGTTTGGGCCACATTTAGTGGAGGCACTACATTTAAAACAATGACCGAATTTCTAAGTATCATGAACATACCACCATTGTCATATCGAATGTACCACAAATTGGAACTGAAACTTGCCAACGATTGGAAAAAACCCCTTTGGGACAGCATGGAAGAGGCTGGCAAGGAAGAATATGACAATGCTGTGGCCACCAATGCCCTAGATGTGGACGGAGTTCCGTGGATCACTGTGTATCTAGATGGCGGATGGAGCCACAGATCGTATGGTCATAATTATAATGCAGCTTCGGAGGTCGTGAGTATCAATCTAATGACTTTGTTTTTTCAATCTTTTGTATAATAATAATACTATCTGTATCAAAGACTATATCTTTATTTTGGTTCAACAAACTTATTTGTTCCATATCTTTTTTCAGGCTGTAATAATTGGAAAGCACACTGGCAAAATATTATTTCTTGGTGTCAGAGATAAATACTGCTGTGTTTGCGCAAAGGCAGAGAAAAAAGGTGAGGAACCGCATGAGCACCTTTGCTTCAAAAATTGGAATGAGTCATCCGGGGATGGAGGATACATTATTAGTGAAGGATTTCGCGAGAGCATCAAGATGCATGGTTTAAAATATTTGCATTTCATTGCTGATGGGGACAGCAGTGTACATGCAAAAATTCAGCAAACCGTTCCTTATGGAAATGAAGTGAGGAAAATAGCTTGCAAAAACCATATTATCAAAAACTATGGAACTACGCTATACAAATTAGAAAACGATACCACCATTGCTGCTGCTGGTCGAAAATATTTGACGGTGAATGCCATAAAGGATCTTAAAAATATAGCTACAAAAGCTATATATATCAACTCTCTTAGTGACGGTGAAAAGAAAGGTGTTGAGACCCAGCTGCGATCATTTTCCATTATTTT